AGGTTAACCGCTTACTCATTCTCACAGTTCATTCTAGAGTAGGTATCGTTTATACATGAGAATTGGAGGCCATTAACATCTGGTCTGCAATAACTATAATTAGAATTGACAGGACTATTTTCTTGTATGCATGTTAGTCTCTAATTGCTGTATCCAATACTTATTTTTCTTGTTTATTTTTCTAATTTCCTCCTGCAGGATCCAGCAATTGGGACTTAAGCTTTCACACATTGTGGTGTTAAGTTGTTACTAAACCAGACTCTTCTTGTTTGATTTCTGCAAAGAAAGTTGCAACTTTATAACAGTCTGACACCCTACAATATAGGCATAAATTATCAATAGTGGATATCAACACTTAGTGGAGACTATAACTAGTGTGCAAGTATCTATAGTTTGAAACCAAACGGCACACAGTACTTAGTGAGGAGAATGTGTGAGAGAGAGAGATGAAGCAGTGGGTTCCTTTATTCCAAAGTTTTATGAACTCTCCTTCTTCTGAGGCCGATGCTTCACTCTTTCTACAGCAGCAATATAATCCTAACACCTCCTCCTTTCTCTCTCTTCTCCTCACCCCAATTCCTTCTACCTCTTCCGCTCAAAACCCTCTTATCTTCATCCAAACTCTCCCATTTTTTGTCCAGACACGAATCCTCTCCTTCCTCACAATTGAATGTCCTCGCTTCTGCCGCTACCAGCTGCATCATATCGCCGCCCATATTCTGAATTCTGACATTCCATCATCTTCTAAGCATCCAGGTTTCTGGGTGCGCCGTGCCGCTTGCCGCCTGCTTGATGTTGTGTCCTCTTCTGAACCTACTGCATGCAGTTCTCTCCAAGAGAAAGATGAATTCCATAATTTGCCAGATTGGCTTCAGGGCAAAACTACTACTCTCACCCCTCTTTTTTCTTGGCTTCCTATTCCTAGTAGCCAATTGCCTAGAACCTCTATGGGTTTGGATTTTGTAGTCTCCTCTGGTGAACCCAAAAATGAAGCTATGAATATTGATCAAGAACAAGTTGATTCA